TAATGAAGTCTCTGATTTCACTGGACTTCGCTCATGAGGCCGTGAGGGTACGTTGTGTTGTATTGTAAGGGCCCATCAATTGCATCTGAATGGGATTAAAGAAGCAAAAGAAAATATGAAAATGGTGGAGAAGAACTCAAGAATCCATGGCTATGCCTCTCCTATGGATTAGAATGGGATTATGCAGAAGAAAGGGGTGAAAGGGGAGGGAAAGTAAAAAAAAAAACAGAAAAGAAAAGCAAAGGAGGGGATTGACCACTCATGATGACATAGTCACACTATGTTATCTCTCTCACTCTTATTTTTTATATTTTTATGTTTTTACCGTTTTACTCCGTAGTAAGTATCGGGTCAACTAGGATCAATATGATAAGACAATATATGAAATTCATATTATTCTGGAATCATACATAATCGAGATTAATATTAGAAGACCGTTAATAGTTGGTATTAATCATGTGCCTTTTTCCAAAAATATTTCAGTTTTACTCCGTAGTAAGTATCGGGTCAACTAGGATCAATATGATAAGACAATATATGAAATTCATATTATTCTGGAATCATACATAATCGAGATTAATATTAGAAGGCCGTTAATAGTTGGCATTAATCATGTGACTTTTTCCAAAAATATATGGAGCATGATGATGATGTAGATGTATCTCATTCAATCATCTCTTATCAATATCTGAATGCATCTATGCATGCACCTCATCAATATGCTCCTTATGGAGCACTTTAACATGCCCCATAAGTTTATTCTTAATCTAACTAGACTAAATACCCGTGCGATGCACGGGTATATCTAGAATAGAACAACTACTTATTTTTAATTATGTTTTATTTCGATGATACATAATGTGTAATTTTGTCAAATAAGAAAAAGACAGTAGACTTTATATGATGTAAATTTGATAATGTACTACTCCCTCCATCCCAAATTGATTTGCAAAGTCAATAGTTTAATTTTGGTCAACTAATTAAGATTAGAATTAAATACTCCCTATTCATAAATAACTATACTTTTAATAATTAAAATTTACATATTTAGAAACTACATTAAATTCTCTATAAATTTTCAAAATCCGAATTAAAATATAATTAAAATTGATATCCTAATTAAGTGAACAAAATTAAACTGTTTGACCCAAAAAAGTTGACTTTGCAAATCAAGTTGGGACGGAAGTAGTGGTAATTTGTAAGAAAAAGAAAATTGGATCGTTTTAAAAATGGACGATGAATTGAGGATGTTAAAAAAACTTTTGAGCGTGCGCTTCATCAGATTCAGTGTCAATGCTGCCTTCAAGTGAACATGGGCGGTCAAAACTCAAATTTATTGTTATTATTATTATTATTATTATTATTATTATTATTATTATTATTATTATTATTATTATTATTATTATTATTATTATTATTATTATTATTATTATTATTATTATTATTATTATTATTATTATTATTATTATTATTATTATTATTATTATTATTATTATTATTATTATTATTATTATTATTATTATTATTATTATTATTATTATTATTATTATTATTATTATTATTATTATTATTATTATTATTATTATTATTATTATTATTATTATTATTATTATTATTATTATTATTATTATTATTATTATTATTATTATTATTATTATTATTATTATTATTATTATTATTATTATTATTATTATTATTATTATTATTATTATTATTATTATTATTATTATTATTATTATTATTATTATTATTATTATTATTATTATTATTATTATTATTATTATTATTATTATTATTATTATTATTATTATTATTATTATTATTATTATTATTATTATTATTATTATTATTATTATTATTATTATTATTATTATTATTATTATTATTATTATTATTATTATTATTATTATTATTATTATTATTATTATTATTATTATTATTATTATTATTATTATTATTATTATTATTATTATTATTATTATTATTATTATTATTATTATTATTATTATTATTATTATTATTATTATTATTATTATTATTATTATTATTATTATTATTATTATTATTATTATTATTATTATTATTATTATTATTATTATTATTATTATTATTATTATTATTATTATTATTATTATTATTATTATTATTATTATTATTATTATTATTATTATTATTATTATTATTATTATTATTATTATTATTATTATTATTATTATTATTATTATTATTATTATTATTATTATTATTATTATTATTATTATTATTATTATTATTATTATTATTATTATTATTATTATTATTATTATTATTATTATTATTATTATTATTATTATTATTATTATTATTATTATTATTATTATTATTATTATTATTATTATTATTATTATTATTATTATTATTATTATTATTATTATTATTATTATTATTATTATTATTATTATTATTATTATTATTATTATTATTATTATTATTATTATTATTATTATTATTATTATTATTATTATTATTATTATTATTATTATTATTATTATTATTATTATTATTATTATTATTATTATTATTATTATTATTATTATTATTATTATTATTATTATTATTATTATTATTATTATTATTATTATTATTATTATTATTATTATTATTATTATTATTATTATTATTATTATTATTATTATTATTATTATTATTATTATTATTATTATTATTATTATTATTATTATTATTATTATTATTATTATTATTATTATTATTATTATTATTATTATTATTATTATTATTATTATTATTATTATTATTATTATTATTATTATTATTATTATTATTATTATTATTATTATTATTATTATTATTATTATTATTATTATTATTATTATTATTATTATTATTATTATTATTATTATTATTATTATTATTATTATTATTATTATTATTATTATTATTATTATTATTATTATTATTATTATTATTATTATTATTATTATTATTATTATTATTATTATTATTATTATTATTATTATTATTATTATTATTATTATTATTATTATTATTATTATTATTATTATTATTATTATTATTATTATTATTATTATTATTATTATTATTATTATTATTATTATTATTATTATTATTATTATTATTATTATTATTATTATTATTATTATTATTATTATTATTATTATTATTATTATTATTATTATTATTATTATTATTATTATTATTATTATTATTATTATTATTATTATTATTATTATTATTATTATTATTATTATTATTATTATTATTATTATTATTATTATTATTATTATTATTATTATTATTATTATTATTATTATTATTATTATTATTATTATTATTATTATTATTATTATTATTATTATTATTATTATTATTATTATTATTATTATTATTATTATTATTATTATTATTATTATTATTATTATTATTATTATTATTATTATTATTATTATTATTATTATTATTATTATTATTATTATTATTATTATTATTATTATTATTATTATTATTATTATTATTATTATTATTATTATTATTATTATTATTATTATTATTATTATTATTATTATTATTATTATTATTATTATTATTATTATTATTATTATTATTATTATTATTATTATTATTATTATTATTATTATTATTATTATTATTATTATTATTATTATTATTATTATGGATCATTATCATCATTATATGGATTGATAGTATATATGGTAAATATGGATTGATATTTTTATGGAATTAATTATGGATTCCATAATGGCAAGTTAATTTAACACATACGGTAAGACTTGAGCATATATGTGAGCAATACATGTGCTATTTATGTAAAAAAAAATCAAGGCTCACACATTTCATATGGGCGGCAGTACATATTTCAATGAACTTAAATTACATTTTACCCTTTTTAGGCGGCAATTTTGCCTCCAAAACTTGTAACGACTCTGCTACTTTATATTATATGAAGATACTTTTAATAATTAAAATTTACATATTTAGAAACTACACTAAAATCTCTATAAAATTTCAAAATCCGAATTAAAATATAATTAAAATTGATATCCTAATTAAGTGAACAAAATTAAACTGTTTGACCCAAAAAAGTTGACTTTGCAAATCAAGTTAGGACGGAAGTAGTGGTAATTTGTAAGAAAAAGAAAATTGGATCTTATTAAAAATGGACGATGAATTGATGATGTAAATGCCGGGGAACATTTACCGAGTTTTATTAATAATCCAATAAAATTACAACGGAAAGGGGGACTAGACCAAAACCTTTCCAGAGAGGCATTCCCCCCGGTCGTCCAATCGACAATTCAACGGTTGGAAATCTTGAGTTCCACTTTTTCGCCGATCTCGAGTTCGTGTTGGCCGCTCTCTTCCCGTCCAATGCGCAAGGCACCCTCCTAGTCGGGTAGAGGATCCCAATCGGACTTAAGAGACTTAAATAATACATCGACCCACTTCAATTCTTTAGTGTAAAAAGACTTAAGTCTAGATAATTAAATACTTAGTACTGTTAGTAGCTGAATTACATTAGTCTTCGATGCCTTCTTGAATTCTTGTTGTTATGCTTTTGTGGATAAAGGTTATTTTTTGTCTTCCGCACTTCTGGAAATGCAATTGGTTCTGTCAAGAGTTTAAAAAATAATAATCGTTGCCTCAAACTTACACTCGATTTGAATTTCTATGCTTTTAGAACTGGAATGAACAACTAGATTCTAGATCTATTGGGGCAATCCATTTTTTTTATGGGAGTAAATGTGTGAAAATGGTTTTATTCCTAGTGGTTTATGCGAGACTACGAGACTTTTTTTGGGGGCAGTAATTAACATGTCTACCCTCACTTGTAGTAATTAACCCGTGTACACTAAGAAGGCTGACATTTGTTTTGAATAATAAGGAGTACGCGTAGAAAGAGCAAAGTAAAAATGACCTGCTGAAATGAACACAAGTTATATACATCTACTTATATATAAATCGCGAAAGGAAGTTAACTTGGGCATTTTTCCGTTGCTACAGTTCAACGTTTAACACTTCCGTTTTCTTTCCTCTCTTTATCGCTCATCCACATAAAACAGGCCGGATGTCTTTCCCGATTCGTTAGTCATTTCGCTCCCCAGAAACTCGCAGATGGCAGAGCTAGGGTTGACATGAGTCTTCTTCCGCCAAGCCTCTCAGCTTCAATGGAGTATCAAGCAGCTCCAATAGATGGCCTCACCGGGAACTTCAGTCTCTTTTCAAGAACGCTTTGTGTCGTTTCGGCTAATTTGGGAAAATCTTTGCGTCCACGAGATTCAAGTTTCTCCTGTGCCCAGCGTCCACAAGATTCAACCTTCTCCGGTAATACGATAACACCGCCTCTCACCCTGATACTGTCAGCTAATAAATATGATGGTTTTGTTTTTTTCAAACTGAAATGGGATCCATCGACCTAACCGTCTACATCCATTGGAGCAGCCGGGCTATCTTTCTCTTATTTCCAACTATTTGGGATTATTTACTCCTCCATATTCCAATTTCTATGGATTTCTTTCAATTTTGGTCATGTTAAAGATTTAACTTAAGTCTTCAATTATTAAATTCCTCTATTGATTTAGGTTTACATTATATGTGGAAAGATTAGCAGAAAATTCATTTTGATATTAAAATCTGGATATAATTCAATAAAATACCATTTTCCGCCCCCACTCTAATACAGAGCCGTATTTATGGCCCTAATGTTTGCTTTTGTAATGATGGGCAGAGCGAAGTCATCGTACAAATGCTGAATCAGAGCAAACTCATCCATTCTTCTTGCCTTCATGGATTGGCTGGACTTTAAGGTTTCATTTCAATTAGTTGTTTTGGTTTAGTTTGAGGTTTGAGTCGATATATGTATACCTAATTGGTATACGTATACCACTTCAAGCTACACAGATTTCTGATTTTTTGCGGGGTAAGCCTAAACAGAGATTCACTTGGATTTTATTTGGATTTATTATGTGATATGAAACACATTTGTTTCTATATAAGATTAGTTTTTAAATTCATTCTTGCTTCTGATTGTTCCCTGACTATATATGTTTTTGGGTTCAATTGAATGTTTCATCTTTGTGTCTGTGGTGTAGATTAATTGTTCTTTTTTCTAAACACCATAAACTGGTAACTTATAGGAGGATTTTACAAAGATAGTAGTCTTAACTTCAAAACAACATTGCTAATGATAATCATAAGAACCGCAATAATGGTTTTACCTACTAAAAATTCATCCTATCCAAGATTCTAAATTAAAGAATATCATCATACCCACCTTGTTTCTTATACGTATTATTACTATTCGTATTGTTGTCATCTTTGGGGTTCACAATATTTGAACCCAGCCTGGTACCTCTCCCATGCATACTTAGAGGCACCTCTGCTCTAACCAACCTAGATGAAACTGCCAATGTTCCTTGTATCTTAGATGCCCATTCCTTCTGCTCTGGCAATAGATTACTTGCACTGGTTTGGAATCAATTGGTCTGTTTGCTGTTTTTTCATTGACTGTTTTTTTTGTTTATTCAAATGACATAGGTTGAATAAACCTTTCATCTTCAAGAGATCGTCATTATGGATATCACAATTGGGGCAGTGGTGGAGGAGGAGGAGGGGGACATGGCACTTCTCACCATGTTTTTTTTGTAAGTTATGTTTCTCTCGTTTGATTATTTCTGGTTTGTATTACTAAGAAGTATATTGTATTGATGACCGGAATGGTTTCTCATCTCCTCTTTTCGTGGAAATGATCATTTTAGTTGCATGTCCACTTGAAGGACTAGAGGTAAATAGAGATATTATAAGTGGGAGAGAGCTTTCGTCATATGGCTTGATTTTTTTAATCTCTATCGATAGTTCAAGTTTTCTTTGTCTCTTTTCTATTTCATCATTTTCTTCTCCTTTTTAGGAGTTGATTGGAGAAGCCCACTTGAGACTGAGGTGAACGTTTTCTCCACAAGCAGTTCAAACATTTATGCTATTGTTATCTTATATTTACTTATCTTTATCTTATCTGTTTTATCTTACTTTTTCCCTGTCTTCTTGTCTGTTCCTTTTCTGCTTCTGATGATTTGTATAGTTGCATCTACCATGATATACAATTCGATATATCTCTTTACATTGTGCTAATGCTGAATGTTTTTTCCCTGTTTTGCAGAACAAATAAAGTTGATGATTTCACATCCGGGCTCCTAGATATCCATTCCAAAATGTTAGAGATGGGTAAAAGTAGGTATTTTAAGGGTTCATTCTGTTGTGATTGTGATGTAGTCTGAATAAAAGATTATAGTGAGTTTGAGTTCAAAAAGGAAATAAATCGAAAGGCTAATAGATATAGTGTTGTCATTCAGCTAATCAACATATTCTTAGATTGCCCTCATTGGTGCAAGAGAAGAAGATGAGAAATGAGTCTCAGCTACAGGTGTTCAAGATTGGCGGGGCTCGGGGCTCGGTAGTCTACTGTTCTCCTCCAGCGTCCATTCTGAGGTTTTGTTGGTCGACCTGTCTGCATATTTTTCAAAAGATTATTCTGTTTAGTTTGTTTTTTTAATAATTCATCACTTGATCTCTTAATTGTTTTTCTTTTTTTCCTTTCTGTTTCATAGCTGCTATATATTATGACAAACCTCTTTGGTTAATTTTGACTTCATAGCCGCGAGGAAAGTAAACATATTAGAGCCTGAGCTGAGGGTAGCCTGTTAATTAAGCTTGGCGCAGGTTCAATAGGTTGGGATTACATTTCATGTCTGTTAGGGTTAATTTCATGTGAATAAATTGAATAAACAATAGTGTCTGCTCTTTCAAATGCTTATTATTTGTTCTATAAAAAAATATACAAACTTGTGAATAGATGTTTAACACCAAATGGGGTTAGGTGTGCAACAAAATAATTTTGTTTTGGTACTAATTTTGTCGTTTCATTTTTTGGAACTAATTACTTTTCATATCTAATCTCCGTTTTAGTCTTCAACATGATTGATTTTAAATTAACTCATCATTGATGATTTTTTAACCTAGGGAAAACCACCCAAAAGTTTTCTTCTTTAAAAAAACAAAACTTTTATTAACTGTTAATAAAACCTATCTGCTCCCCTTTAATTAACTGTTATTCTTCTTTAAAAAGCAAATTTTTATTCTTCTATATTCTTAAATGATCATTTGTCTAACACCGTTTAGTTAGTTTGTGGACCATTGCATTTTTAATATTGCATTTTTCATTTCTGGATATGCTTTCTCATAACTTTCACTTATTTTTTTGTTCAGACAAGTCTCTTGATGAACATTGATTCCACATTTTGTTTCAATCTCTTGATATTAGCTTCTAACTTCAGTTTTGTTTTTCTTAAACAATGTCTGCTAAATTAAGGAAGCCAAATTCTTTACCTTGAGAGTTCTTAAGCTTCACATTTACTTTGACACGGTATATATTTACTTCTTCAATATCTTTGATTTGGATCCTAATCACTTTTCGCGGACTGAAACACTTTGATAGGGAAGATAGATTGTTGAAAGTGGTATGGTCTTCTTGACATACTTCAAGATAGTTTCTGGATATAGTTTTAAACGTTTCTCTAGCCTGTCCAACTAACCTTAAGATGTTGTTAGTTTTAACTAACAAATGCAGGTTGTTATGGTCTAACTTTATCATTTTCATAATATCTCAAACTCAAAAAAATGAATTGATAGTTATACTTACAGTTAGATCAAGCTGCACCTCTTTCCTATAAACGAGTTTACTTGATTGAGATTGGAAAAAGTACAATTGTTAGTCTTGCTCATGCCATTAGAGATTATTCCCAAAATATAGATGTTAATGATGGAATTGTCTCTTATTTATACAGGATGGTTACAATCCATATTTGGAACTCACATTAAGTACTAAGAAGAGGATATGGATATGTCATCAACCATATAAACACTAAGTGGGGAAATAAAAATGGCATGCTTGGGTAGGTCCTTTTCCATTATGATATTAACCTGAAATTTCTCAATTTTCCTAAAAAACTTGGTTTTTTTTAGAAAAAAAGGTCCCCAATATCTTTGATAAGCTTCATAGTTTTTAATTTTCTTCTTTAACCTAAATTATGTTATTTAGTTTTTAATGGTAGTAAATGTATTTTTACTAAGTTCTAATTTAACGCAGTTTCTAAAATATCTTAGGTATCAAGGTTTTTTAAACATAGTAATCTGCTACAGTTTTACGCTGATTCACACCTTAAATTAAATGTGTTAGGCAAAGTTTTTCTTTAAAGAAGTTTTGTGTACATTTATATTATGTTGAGGCATAATTTATTTAGAAAGTTTGAGTTTAAGCCAATTTTTTTTAATTGTTAAGTGACCTCGGTCGTAATTTTCTTGATATAGTTTTTGTTTAAGGCATTTTTCATATTACCTTATGTATGAACTACTACGTATATTTCATTTTTAGAAGTTTTTAATCTGTGTACTAATTATTTTGACAATTTTTTTTATTCAAGGGAATGTGTATAATTAATTAAAGGCAGAATTGGTTTACATTTTTAATATATATAAGGCAACTTTTATTTTTGTCGGTTTTTAATCGAAGTAGTTATTGTTGCCCAAAAAAAACTCGGTAGTGATCAATTCGACTATCCTTTTTATTTAAGACATTTTATACTATGTTAGATATGGACTTTATTATTTAGTTAATTTTCTCAGGGTTCTTGTATGGCAACCATCTCTGCCTGGAAGCTTAGAGGCGTAGAAGCTTAGGGTCCAGGTCTAATCTCGGTCTAATCTCAACTGCTCTCATCTGGCTGGTACGAAAAAAGAAAACAAGCTATAAAAGTGGAACAAATGGAGTTGTGTCCATGACTTTTTCAAATGCATTGGCTTCTAAATAATGTAAAACAGACCTTTTTCTCGATATTTTGTTCATTTATTTAGTTTCAGCAATTTTTTTTAAACATTTCAGTATTCAGAGAAATGGTTCGAAGCTAACAGTGTAAATTTTACTAAATGCATTGATCCTAAGTCATAGAGTTGAGCTCTTGAACTACTTCAAATTCACTCTTCATCCGAAGAAGGATGTGTTTGTATTCCTATATCATTTGAACTATTAGTGATATTATTATAATTCCTGACAACTCCGGTACCTTTCTAAAATATGGGGTTCCGTGCCTATTATTCATTTGATTGGACCACATAACTTTATCATTTTTAATTTAGATTTAAATAACTCAACTGCTACATTCTCATTGGTCCATGTGGACAAAGGTATGGTATCTTATGGGTACCATAGAATCTACCTTATTATTTATCTCTCTGCAGAGCTAGATGGAAAGACAAACGAGTATATTTTGATGAATGCCAACGCATATTAAACCAGGTGGGATTTGGGGTTTGGTTGTAATTTTTTAACGATAATGTATCATGTATGTGATTTTTATTAAATATTAATATTGCACTGCCAGATCGTTGACCTACTGAAGAAATATATCTAGAACTAGAAAGGAGATCTGTTAGTCCCAATCAGGTTGTTATAGCTTAAATTCATGAAGGCAATTACCTAGGTATTTACAAACTCATAGGCGTTGCTGGGGAGACTGATATGCATGCGAGTTGATAGAGATCACCCTTCATGTTGCTCATCTATGATTTCCAATTTGGTTAATTTGATATTACATTTCATTGTTTCTGAGTTGGTTTACAATGAATACAGGGTGAAGAACAAAATAATTGGATGTGCTCTTCAATCAAGTTTTTATCAAAGCCTTGGTTAGCATTGTTAAGTTTCTGAACAACTTCTTATCACCATTTTTTCATTTTCCCGGTTAGAACACATTTCAAAAGTTTGGAAATATTTCTTTTTTAGTTCATTCTTTTCATTCTGAGCAAAATAAAGAAGCAACCATTGTGAAGCCACCATTGTAGAAAAGGCATTTCCTGATTCTAAGAACTATTTTGGTCACCTTGTGAAAGTTTAGCATATGAAATATGGTGTATCTGATGGAAAGTGCAGTATTGGCATGTGTTGCATTTGACTCATTGGATGGATCATCTAGCATAGATCGTGCCAACTGGAACTGTATGATTCCTTACTCAAATGTTACTAAATCAGTTCTTCTAACTTATAAATGCTACAGGTTCAATTGTTCTCCCTTTTTTTAATATCTGGATCTTTTGGTCATTGCATAGCACCTGCACAATAGTGTCATTTTCCCCTGATTATTTTGGTTGTCATCTATGCCCTATTTTCTTTGGTTGTATTTCTTTTGTTGGGCATGAAGCCTCGCGCAAAGCGCGTGCCAATGCTAGTATTAAAATATAAGCGATCGAATTAAAACTAGTCACGGGTTAGAGCACAAATTCACAAGCTCTGATGTATATGATACATGATACATCTATCTATGCAACAGATGTCCACTAAGTAAGACTTCTGTATTTTTTCAAGGCTTCACGCATGTTCTATTAGCCACGTAGCTCTTACACTAAACACTATTGAGTTGTTTCTTCGGTAGCTTTTGTTTTTATCAGTTTAAACAAAACACAATAAAGTGATAACAGTGCATACGGTACGTACACCATACAAATTTCAGAATTTTAATCTTTACATATGGAGTATATATCATTTCCATTCGAATATGATATATCAGTTTTTTTTCGTTAATGCATATGTAAATTACTATGCTTATATAGCTATATTGCCTATATACATACATATAATATATGTATACTACGTATAAAAGTGAACTTCATTAATGGTGCACATTTAAATTAATAATATTGAACCAAATAAACACGAGTACATGAAATCAATAAAATAGATAATGGTGCTACGCCTTACATATTTATCTATATTAGACAATAGTATAAAAGTTTTATAGTTTATAAAATGTTTAGTAATAAATCTCTATTAATGATTATTGTAGTAAATCATGGCAAACATTTCCAAACGAGAATTCGACGTCCTTGATCTGTCCGGTCAAAAATATTTGGAATGTAAAGTCGATGCTCTGACACATCTTAAGGCTAATGGTTTAGAAGATACAATTGAAGCCAATAATCTATCATCTTCCCAAGATAAAGCGAAAGCTATCATTTTCCTCCGTCACCACCTCCATGAAAGTCTCAAATCTGAATATCTTTTGGTTGATGATCCAAAATAATTATGGGACAATTTACAAGAGAGGTATGACCACCAACAAAAGGTACTTTTGCCAAAAGCTCAATATGACTGGATCAATTTAAGATTCCAGGATTTTAAATCAATCAGTGACTATAATTCTGCCATGTTCCAAATAACATCTAAACCAAAGTTATGCGGACAAAAAGTCATTGATGCTGATATGTTGGAGAAAACCTTTTCTACAATGCATATTTCTAATATGCTGCTACAGCAGCAATATAGAGAAAATGGTTTTAAAAAAATACTCCGACATAAAATCAGTATTATTGGTAGCTGAGCAAAATAATGACCTTTTGATGAAAAATCACAATTTGAGACCCACTGGTTCTAGTCCTTCTGTTTATGGTCCATCTGGCCATAATTTAGCCACTGAATCAAATGCAACATACACTGGCAGTAGAAGGCATTTTAAACGTGAGCATTTTAATGGTCATAAAAACAAGTCACACCGAGAATACAAACAGGTCGAAAGACCAAATTACAAGGGCAAGGGCAAACAAAAAGCCCATCAAATAAATCGCCCTCCAAAATCCTCGGGAAAGTCGACTTGTTATAAATGTGGCATGACGGGGCACTGGGCTAATAAATGTCGCACGGCTAAACATCTGGTGCAGTTATTTCAAGCTTCCATGAATCTGAACAAAGGCAAAAATGTGGAAGCTAATTTTGTTAATGACACAACTCCACCTATGCCAAAATTTGATGTGTCCGACTTCTTCATGGATGATAGCATAATGGACGATGCATTTGCCACTGATCAAAATAACACAAAATAAATTATAAGACTTTTACATATTGTAAAATAGTAGTTTATGTCATCGTGTACTTTTTCTTTAGGTTACCTTTATGTTGTTTTCATAAATAAGTGTAATATATGTACTTTTATGCTAAATAATTTGCATAATTTGTGATCAAGCTTATGTTTATTTACATATATTGAAGATATGGATCAAGAATTATGTCTGATAGACAGTGCTACAACGCACACCATTTTGAGAAATAAAATATATTTTTCTCAAATGACTTTAGTTGAGGCTAAAGTCAATACAATATCAGGTGTTGCGAAGCTCATTGAAGGCTCTGGGAAAGCATATGTGATGCTCCCTAATGGGACAAAATTACTAATAAATGACGCTTTATACTCCAGCAAATCGCGGAGAAATTTATTAAGCTTTAAAGATATGCGTCAAAATGGTTATCACATAGAAACCATGAATGAAAACCAAAAGGAATATCTTTGTCTAACGACAACTAAATCTGGCACTAAATGTATTTGTGAAAAAATGTCAGCATATTCCTCAGGACTATATTTCACTCATATTAGTCCATTCGAAATAAATTTGGTTTCTAACGCAAAGTTAGATGATCAGAAAACATTCATGTTGTGGCATGACCATTTAGGTCACCCAGGTCATGTAATGATGCATAAAATCATTAAGACTTCACTTGGACACCCATTAAAGAATATAAGGGTTCTAATATCAAGGGATTTTCCTTGTAAGGCCTGTTCTCTTGGCAAAATGATCATCAGGCCCTCTATGAACAAAATTGCAACTGAATCACCTGCATTTTTAGAAAGGATTCAAGGAGATATTTGTGGGCCGATAGCCCCACCATGTGGACCATTTCGATATTTTATGGTGTTTATTGATGTTTCAACACGTTGGTCACATGTTAGTCTTTTATCGACTAGAAATTTAGCATTTGCTAAACTCCTCGCTCAAATTATACGATTAAGAGCTCATTTTCCGGATCATTCTATAAAGAGAATCCGACTTGATAATACAGGAGAATTTACTTCCCAATCATTTAACAACTGTTGTATGTCGATTGGGATTGATGTGGAGCAACCTGTTGCTCATGTCCATACACAAAATGGTCTTGCTGAATCTTTGATTAAACGATTACAATTAATCGCTAGACCATTATTAATGAAGTGTAATTTACCTTCATCAGCTTGGGGACATGCTATTTTGCATGCAGCAAATTTAATTCGGCTTAGACCGACTGCATATCATGAATATTCTCCAATGCAATTAGTTACTGGACAAGAGCCAAACTTAGCACACATAAAAATATTTGGTTGTGCTGTTTATGTTCCGATTGCTCCACCTCATCGTACAAAAATGGGTCCTCAAAGAAGGTTGAGAATTTATGTTGGATTTGAATCTCCCTCAATAATCAAATATCTTGAACCGATGACTGGTGACTTATTCACTGCACGGTTCGCTGACTGTCATTTCAATGAGACAGTATTCCCAACCTTAGGGGGAGAAACTAATAAATCAGACCCAAGTACGAAAGAAATAACATGGAATGCAACAGGATTATCACATCTTGATTCTAGATCAAATATATGTGAGCAAGAGGTGCAAAAGATAATCCATTTACAAAATGTTGCAAATCAGTTGCCTGATGCATTCACAGACACAGAGAAAGTGACAAAGTCACATATTCCTGCTATGAATGCCCCTGCCAGAATCGAAATTCCAGCAGAGAATTCTGAAAAATCTCTTGCAAATGATTCTTCTATACGCAAAAAGCGTGGCAGACCACTTGGATCAAAAGACATAAAACCAAGAAGAACTAAAAGGCAGGAATTGATCTGTGATGCCAAAGATGTTCATCCTTCTGAACAAGAAAATGAACAATTTGAAAATACTGGCATAGAAAATGATATTGACAAAACAAACATCTCATATGACGATCCAACTTCCTTAAATGAGGAAGATGTTCCAGATAATGATAAAAGCGTTGATAATTATGAAATTTCAATAAACTACGTTTCTACTGGAATGCAATGGAATCGAAAAGATATTGATATTAATGAGATATTTGTCTATGCAGTTGCCACGAATGTTATGAATGAAAACAATGACAATGAGCCAACATCAATTGAAGAATGTCGGAAACGACATGATTGGCCAAAATGGAATGAAGCTATTCAGGCTGAATTAAAATCACTTGAAAAACGTGATGTTTTTGGACCGATAGTCCCTACGCCCAAAGGCATAAAACCCGTGGGTTTTAAATGGGTATTTGTGCGTAAACGCAATGAGAAAAATGAAATTGTTAGATATAAAGCCCGACTTGTTGCCCAAGGTATTTCTCAAATGCCGGGAATCGATTATGAAGAAACCTATTCTCCAGTAGTTGATGCAACTACATTAAGGTTTCTTATTGGCATGTCTGTTTTTGAAAGGCTGCAAATGCGCCTAATGGATGTAGTGACCGCCTATCTATATGGTTCACTTGATACAGACATTTACATGAAAGTTCCCGGTGGATTTAAAATGCCTGAAGCTTATAGCTCGAAACCCCGAGAAATGTTTTCCATTAAACTACAAAAGTCATTGTATGGACTAAAACAATCTGGACGAATGTGGTATAATCGTCTCAGTGAATACCTTCTCAAAGAAGGATATAAGAATGATCCGATTAGTCCATGTGTTTTCATTCGGCGATCAAATTCGGGATTCGCCATAATTGCAGTATATGTTGATGACTTAAACATTATTGGAACTCCCGATGAAATTGAAAATATTGCAAAATATCTTATGAAAGAATTTGAAATGAAAGATCTCGGGAGAACCAAATTTTGTCTCGGACTTCAAATTGAGCATTTGAAGAATGGAATTTTTATCCACCAATCCAATTACACCGAGAAAATTTTGAAGAGATTCTATATGGACAAAGCTCATCCGTTGACCTCACCAATGGTCGTTTGATCTCTCAACATACACGATGATCCATTCCGTCCCCGAGAAGACGACGAAGAAATACTCGGTCCCGAAGTACCATATCTGAGTGCTATTGGAGCTTTGATGTATTTAGCTAATAATACTAGACCAGATATTGCATTTTCTGTAAATTTATTAGCTAGGTACAGTTCATGCCCAACAAGACGTCATTGGAACGGGATCAAGCACATATTCCGTTATCTACGTGGTACAGTTGATCTCGGCTTATTCTACCACAAAGATGCAAAAGCTGCTTTAATCGGATATGCAGACGCTAGATACTTATCAGATCCTCAAAAGGCGAAATCACAAACCGGGTACGTATTTACTTATGGTAATACCGCAATCTCGTGGAGATCTATGAAGCAGACTTTGACAGCTACATCATCAAATCATTCAGAGTTAATTGCACTTTATGAAACTGGGAGAGAATGCGTGTGGCTGCGATCTATGATTCAACACATCCAAAATGAATGCGGTATGAAACCTCTTACTTGTCAACCTATATGAAGACAACACTGCATGCATAGCTCAGATTAAAGAAGGCTACATCAAAGGAGACAGAACACGAAACACATATCACCAAAATTCTTCTCTACTCATGACCTGGAGAAAGAAGGAACGATCAACATTCAACAAATCAGATCCAGTGAAAATCCGGCTGATCTCTTCACCAAATCTTTACCCCCGAAGAAGTTCATAGAACTTGTACAGAAAATCGGCATGCGCCGTCTTCAAAATTTATGTTAATTTCAGGGGGAGTATTTGAATGCACTGCACTCTTTTTTCCGTCATCAGGTTTTTATCGCACTGGGTTTTTCCTGATAAGGGTTTTAACGAGACAGTACATCCAAATACAACGACATTATATGTCGTAATTTTTACCCCTTAATTTTCACACTCATTTTCGCAATAAGATAACAAATACATATTCAAGGATGAACATTCAAGGGGGAGTGTTGTAAAACCATCCAATTGACAAGTGTGAATTGTTCATCCTTGTCATTAGGACACCAAGCTACTCCTGATCCTTGTAATGAGCCTACTCATCTAATTCACATCCTTGTAATCATAGTTAGACAGGTGGCTAGATATAATATTGCCAGCAAATTGTGTAGAATCATTCCTATATGATTCATCATCTTGCCTGGCTAGTATAAATAGGGCTTATTCAATCCTTTGTAAACTTAATTCAGAAATTCAGAAAATCTCAGATATTAAGAAGAAGTAATTTGGAGCTTATTATTAATATATCTATCTCTTTAATTTGTTCTTCATTTCACAACAAGTTTGCAAATATTCGACTTTCGATAAACTTTGCAAGGAAATACTTGAAAATCGGGAGATTATGCTCATACTTCTATTCTAGAAAGATGACTTTTCAAATTTGCAAATTTGCAAATTTGCAAAGATGACTTCTAGTTTGCAAATATTCTTCATTCACAACAAGTTTGCAAATATTCGACTTTCGACTTTCGATAATCGGGAACAACTTGAAATAACAATGACCAAATTAACTATGCAAGGAAATATGACTTTTATATATTCTAGAAAGTGTTTCATTGGGAGATTATGCTCATACTTCTCTTAATACTCAATTCCCGAAAGTAATTAAATGTGAAGTTTTAGGCAATATAAACTTAGAAATGAAAGATTACTGATTTTTTATGAACTCATCGGTTGTGTAACTATTCATAGTGATATTTTTTGAAGATATATATATATATGTGTGTGTGTGTATAGGAAATCTTTCCGCTAAGGTATATCTTACCGGAGCCGCCGTGCGGCCTCCACGTTTTGAGGGCCTTACCAGTGGAATTTTTCGATGAAATTTTTTGAGCATGTTCATCATCAAGTCTAGTACATCCATACCAAATTTCAGCAAATAATTCAATCGGGAAGGCAGCCATACGATTTTTAGAAGAGAACTGCGTTTTATATGTATATAAAGGGTGCAGTTATCTTCCAAAAATCATTTGACTGCCTTCCCAATTGATTTTTTTTCTGAAATTTGGTATGGATGTACTAGACTTGATGAAGAACATGTTCAAAAAATTTCATCGAAAAATTCCACCGAGAAGGCTCTCAAAACGTGGAGGCTGCACGGAGGCTCCGGTAAGGTATACCTTACCGGAAGAGTTCCTTGTATATATATATATATATATATATATATATATAGAGAGAGAGAGAGAGAGAGCTCTTCCTGTCCAGCCTGGCCGGACAGGCCCCTGGTCCGCCCGTCTCAATTTGAGGTGATTCCCGGTGGTATTTTTCGCCCAAATTTTTTGTGTATGTTCCTCACAAAATCTAGTTCATCCATACCAAATTTGAGCAAAAAATTCAATCGGGAAGGTCGTCAAATGATTTTTGCAAGTTAACTGGTCCGGAATATACATATAAAACGCAGTTAACTTGAAAAAATAATTTGACCGCCTTCCCGATTGAATTTTTTGCTCTAATTTGGTATGAATGAACTAGACTTTATGAGGAACATACACAAAAATTTTGGGCAAAAAATACCACCGGAACCACCTCAAATTGAGGTGGCCGGACCAGGGGCCTGTCCGGCCTGTCCGGACAGGAACATTCGTGTGTGTGTGTGTGTGTGTAATAGACTAATATAATTAGGAATCTACCTAATAGATATTTAGGAAACTGCCTAATATCTATTTAGGAATACTTTGTATTTTGGCAACTCTTCTATTATAAATATGTGTCAGGACTCCTATTGGAGTACCTCTTTCCCATTATTTCACATGGTATCAAGAGCTTAGGTTTTTAGACACATTTTTTTTCTCTCTTTTTTTTTCGGTTCCCATGAACATTATTATAGCCGCCGCCGCCACCGCCTTGGGGTCGACTGCCGCCACATTTACGGTAGTCTCCGATCCTTTGAAGATGAGCGCGGCTAATATGGCGCAGATCACCTCCTTCGCGTCGCTGAACACGGTGCTTGCTTCCAGCATGCCGTTGAGTTCGCCGCCTGCTGCTGCCTATGTTCGTGCAGCCCACCTTCTCTGCGTCGCTGACCACGGTGCTTGCTTCAAGCGCGCTGTTGAGTTCGCCGCTTGCTGCTGCAGACATATATTCTCATGGAGATCTTATTGTCAAAGACGTGCCTTCTAATCTTCCGCTCACAGATATATTTACTAAGAGTTTTTTTTAGTTTGCAATTTCATTTTTTTAAAAGACAACCTGCGCGTTGTATCTCCCGCACAGTTTGAGGGGGTGTAATAGACTAATATAATTAGGAATCTACCTAATAGATATTTAGGAAACTGCCTAATATCTATTTAGGAATACTTTGTATTTTGGCAACTCTTCTATTATAAATATGTGTCAGGACTCCTATTGGAGTACCTCTTTCCCATTATTTCACAGTGTGTGTATATGTGTGTGTGTAAGGAAAACGGGTCAAACACACTCTTTTACAATGCTACAAAAACAACAACAATTACATCTATAATATAATGCGTTACACACTTTTCCAAAATACTCACTTGGAGAGGGCAATCATAAGGGAAAAAGACACAAATAGGATTAAAACATATCTAATGTAACTAAATAGGACTCAAATGATTTTAATACCGAAATAGGATTGTATTTTTCCGTCGTTCCTGAATTACGTACCCTTCAACCCACGCGTACGACACTTTGTTTCTTGTCCTCTTTGATGGTTACACTTTCTGCGATTTCTTTATTTTCGCCTGGATCTAGTGCGGAGGCGGCGGCCAGGGCCGGTCCTATCGATTTTGGGGCCTATGGGCGAGATATTATCTTGGGCCTATGTTCAAGACAGAAAGTAATCTCTAAATATCGATCAACGAAACAGGACCCACCACTGGTTTCTTCTCTTCACCTAAATCACATTTATCTGGCTCAATTTCAATGTTTGCGGCTTCTACACCTATATCATAATTTCCAAGTATGTTATGATTTTCATTCGCAAAAGAATTTAGCGGCGATTAAACTTTAGAAGAATTTTTTGGGGTTCAGTTTCTTAACAAAAACAAAATTTTCTATTGTCCCCTTCTTACTTAAGGATGCCTTTTCTAATCGTTGCCTCTTTTTCTCTTTTTCCTAACCAAATACATCCATTTTATCAACCACCTTCACAATAGTAAAACGAAATAAAGGACTTCAATTTCAAAATTGCACAATACCACACAAATATGAATTTACGAAGACACTAAAAAATGCATCATATAAATCATTAATCATGCATAATAGATAAATCAAAAGAACATTTGGTGTATTTATTTTTCATAGCTAATAGATTGAGAATAATTGACTAGCCGTTGTCGGATTGTTTGAAGCCTTGATAGAAGAAGGTGTTCTAGTCGCCGGCCGCTGTTTGGGCTCCTCACCGCTGATCGCTTTGGCTAATGGCGATTTGCAGGTTGCGGCACTCTCTAATGTCTACTCTTGTGCGAGACGGTCAAGACCTTATTAAACCTTAGTCCTTTACTTCCTTAGATAATTGAGTGTAATTGGAACTTGGAAACCACCGTCCAAAGAAGTAATTAGGTTAGTGGGATGGGGTGGTTTATGAATTGGGAGTTTGGGAGACACACGGGCTATACAAAGAGTTAAAGACAATAAATATTGTGATAATTTTGTAATTAAAAGAATTATAAAGCATAGAGATGTGAAGAGACTTTAACTACTCAAAGAGGCGTGCCGCATGCCTTTTAACATTTGTTTTAAAATTTTTAATTTTTCAACAAAATTAAACATTAGGCCTAATTACTTGACCTTAAATACAAAAAGAAGCCTACTCCCGCTATACATGAAGACAAATTTTTGGGCCTATTTTTCCATCCTATTTTTTTGGGCCTAGGGCGGTCGCCCTTGTTGCACCCCTAGGACCGGCCCTGGCGGCGGCAAGCTCCATTTCTTCCTCTTCCTTTCCGTTAGTCTGCAATCTATCTGCGCTCCATCTGTGTTCTGATTTTACTTTTCTTCATCTTTTGTTTCTCCGAATTTGTGTGAGAGAATTTCTTTTAGTTTTTTCTTCTTGTTTATTTCCTTGTTTTGTTTATTGCTCCGATTTTGTTTCTCCACCAGCTCCTCGACATCTTCTCCAGGTGCCAAACCATGTTTCGGTGTTGCAGTGAAACTGGCAGAGAGAAGTGTATTTGTCACATAACTGGCGAGACCATACCAAAGCTTCAGCCACTGCGGTTTTGGAGCTTCGGGGGTTTATGGTCTAGATTCCAGAACACTGTTCCTTATTTCATTAACACATCAGGGACTCTCCATTTTGGATGATATATGCTCCAGTATATTTCTAGAAATGTCATTCATTTGTGTCATTGTGAGATTATAGATAGAATGGATTTTTGTGATCGAATAATGACTAGAAATGGGACATCACATATTCATAACATTATCACCCTAGAAAATATTATTACTACTTGTAAATGATAAAATTGTCACAAAGAAAAAAATAGGTAGCAATATTGTGAACATTGTCAAAAGGGTTTTTTACAAGAATATTACTAAAATAAAACATATTTATATAAATATAACTATTCATTACTACAATGTGGTGTTGTGGTAACTTAAGCTCAAAACTTGAACATGAATTACTATGATTTCATTACTACTCTAGTCACTAGTCATATTATTGTAAATCATCTTTATTTTGATCATATTTATGTAATTATTTCTTGTCAAAATGTAGGAAACAATGTCACACTGTCAATGCTATAAATAATGTCAATGTCATTGCATTGTCAATAATAATCGTGACAATGTCACTGCTATAAAAATGAAATAATTGTTAAAAGTAATGTTAATACTATAATGTTATTGCTGTAAAAATGACACTATTTAAACAATTTTAATACTATAAAAATTATATTGTTTTTTATAGAAAAATTGTATTTTTAATGTCATTATGTGACAATGTAATATACATGATGACATTGTAATAATGGCAATGTAAATGCCGATTGTAATAATGTCAATGCTATAAAAATGACATTGTTAAGAGTTCTTGGCTAATGAGCTCCCTTAAAAGGAGATGCACCTTGTTGGTATGAGTAGTACTATTAATCCATTTATATTAAATCTCAAGTGTTACACAATGTCAATACTATAATATTGTAACATTGTTATGATGTAGGGAAAATGTCACAGAGTTATAAAAAAGTCATCGCAAACAATACTATTGTAACAAAGCGAAAGATGACAATGACAATGCTATAAATAATGACATTGCAGCAATGCCAATGATGATAACAATGATAATGTGAAAATTTACAATGACATTGGCAACAGTATAAAGAATGACATATATTAAAAAGTCAATTCTATGAAAAATTACATTTTGTAATAAAAAATACATTATTCTCAGTGAATTACAATGCCATTATAAAAAATGTATTATAATGTCACGATATGACATTGTCTATTTTGTACACAGTGTCATTGTTTATTTTGATAATTTTGTGACATCGGCAATGAAATGAAATCAAACAATTACAAAGAACCACTTTCATATTGAAATTGTGTTGATATATTAAAAATAATGTTATTGAAATAGTAACATCATCATGTGATATTGTGATATTAATGTTTTGACATTGTCATTGTTTTGGTCATGACAAAGCTTCATAATGTTGACAAATCAAGTATTTATAAATATAACAGTGAGGTAAAAGTTATAATATTGATAAAAGATGCTACAAATTAAAAATAATTAAAAATAACCAATAGAATGAGAAAGAAACATTAAACAAAACAAACAAAAAAAAAAAAAAAAAATACTACTCCGCATGGAATGAGAAAGTCATTAGCTCAGGAGGTCACGCAATACAATAGCTAATTGCAAGCTAAGGAAACAACCAAATCTCAATCTTATGCTCTGTTTTGTACAATCAATACTCTCATCAATGTCATATTCAGAACAACACAGAGAGCGTGCAAAATTGAGTCAGTGGGGGAGCAAAACTAGGCAATCGGTTCAAGCACACCCAATCCTATCTTAAAATAAAGAAAACACAAACAATGGAAGCTGGTTGTGCTTTTGCTAGTGTCGAAGTCAAGAGGAGAGGACGGATAAAATTCAAAATTAAAAGATAACCTAAATTGATGAAAGAAGCTGAAAATAAGGGGAGAAAAAATTTGAAATTCCCAATCTCTTCGCGCCTCACTACTACTTCCGGATCTGCCACCGCCACAATTGTTTCTTCCATGACAATATCTGCGGCTGCTGTCGCCGATGTGCGTGCCGGAAATAGAGGAGCAGATAATGGAAGAAAATAAGCCGGAGAAGGAAATAAAGCAAAAAACAAGCCTGCTGCCGAGCAAGGAAAAGAAGGGACTAGAAGAAAGAGGAGCATAGCAAGCCGGTCGAGGAGAAAAACATGACTGCCGCGCCGCTCGAGCCTGCAGGTACCACCGCGCTCGCCGTCACTGCGCTCGCTGCCGCCGCATGACTGCCTTATCTCTTTGTGTGCTGCGTGGTGTTCAGCAAAGCTTTCGTTGAAGTGTGTGGCTGAATTTGTCCGGGTAAGAGAAAGGGGCAGCGTGCAGGGTTTTAGATATTAGGGGTAAATTTGGAACAAACGGAAAATGTAGTCCGAGTTAAAAACATTGAACTCCTATTTGAGTATATATGATAAGTTGTAGTCCTATTCACAACCATTTCTCCAATCATAAAGAGCAGTTGAGCACTTTGGACAGAGAGCATTTGTATATTTGATTGATTTTATTTTAATTTTGGCAAATTTTCTTTAAATTTGATATCATATGCAGGTTCATGATAGGTTGTTTTACATTTTTACTCGCTACTCTTTTGAGAATAAGTTTGGAATGTTTTTAAAATAAGAAGATGAAAATCTAGTTTATATTCCGTGCTTCACTAGAGAACTATACTAAGCTAGTTGTAAAAATAAAAATAAAAACTATGTTGACTTTGATTCCATTGCAAAGAAACGCATGCAATTCAACTTTTATAAGGGTTCAACCCCTGAAAAAGTTTTTATTTAGTTTGTTTTAAATTTCTATTATTATACTTGTAATAATTTTTTTAATGTATTTATCATTAATGTACTATTGCAAGTACACATACTATTCATACATCGATCACTTACATGATATCTATTGTTTTATAAAGTAAAACTGAGTTAAGAAAAGCTGATGTGTCATCCTTCAATTGGTTATTGAATATTATATTTATTGTCACTTTTAATTACATAAATAATTAATAATTCATCCGATTCGCTGGTCAATAAAACTGAAAACAAACTTGATCATTTGTTGCGGGAGTCTACTAGCAATTAATTCGCTCAATTCGTTTATTAGCTATCCACAACGGCGGACGCAAGAATTTCCGGTAGCAGGGGCGACAGTACAAAAATATACATACAGATACATATACATTAAAAATTTCGGGATAAATATATCTAGATATTTTTTGGAGGGGCAGCAGCCCCCCTTGTCACCCCTGTGTCCGCCACTGGCTATCCATTCGTTAGTCGCACTATTTTATTAGGTTTGAAAGTATTCTCGACTGCATATTAGCAATAAGTTATACTACATACGATAGTAATATCAAATAGATAGCAGATAGTAAATACTCACACTGTATATATAAATTTGTCAAATTTGACTAGCGTGAAAGAACAATAAAGTAAAACTTGTGTGGTTCATGTTTGATTAAAAAATAAACAATTACATATTTATGACTAAAATAAGGACTCTTTACAAAAATGTGACTAGTGATAAAATCTTTAAAAAGAAGTGATGACAAAATTATAAAAGAAGGAATGCGTAACATTTAACTAATTGCCAGACATACGAGAATTTTCTTAAAGAGAAATATCACTAATATTTAAAAAAGTATTGAAATAAACTTATATACAAAAATATAACCAAAGTTACTAAGTATGATGTCACAATAATTTAACTGTAAAAGTTGAACGTGAGTCACATACTAGCAATGACAAGCATCTTTATAATTCATCAAACGCCTTAAGAGTAATAATAAAATCAAAGATTGAATCCAAATCTTACATGACAATTCAAAAATAAAAAATTGACAAAATTCAATGGAACAAGGGGAGTAATTCCTAAAAATAGTTGAGCAAAAAATGGTAAAAATGGGTATTCAAGTATAGTCAATTATGGGGGTGTTTGGATCTGATTCTTAAAACTGCTTCTGCTCCCTTAGGGAGCAGAAGCAGAAGTTGGAGTGTTTGGGAGAAAGTGCAAAAGTGATATTGGTACTCAAATTTACTCCTAGAATCAGTTTTTTTTAGAAGTTGGGGGTGACCAGCTTCCAAACACCCCTATATGTGACCCTTTTTAAGTGAAAAGTAGCAATAGGCAGTTCAAAGTTTTTTCCCAAAAATATTACTAAAATAAAACTCATTTACACAAATATAACTATTATTACATTACTACTTTAGTCACTAATCACATTTTTATAAACAGTTTTAACTTTATTCACATATGTAATTATTTCTGAAAGTTATTTTTGGAGAGGACAAGCGTACAATACAACAATAAATGTTGTGCACAAAATAGTCATTCAAAATGTTTAATTTTTTATTTTAAAACATATGAATGATATTTGACATATCAAACATTTTCTTTTATTTATAAAACAAAAAAAAGTCTTTTATTTTCAAAACCACAAGTAATCATGTAAACATTAACTTTTTTGAATAGTGGCCTCATTTCCTAAATCTCAATAAAAAATTACACAAATATAACTACTTTAAACTCCATTAACAAAAATATGACTTTTTGCTCTAACTTAATCTCATGATGCCCATACGTGATCGATGCTATAAGTCACTTTCTTGTAACTCCCATGACTTTTGATAATATTCATGTACAAATCTCTTTTTATTAATATAACGCTATTACTTGATTCTATAAATAACCTCAACCTCTATTGATATTTATCATTTTAATACTTATTAAAATGATATTACTACCAAGACATGCCTCGGATGTTACAATATTATTAGAAAACAAAATAATTGCACTGAACGTCTAATAACAGGACTGAAAACGGTTAAAAATCGTTCGGTAAAATAGGACAGACCCGCTCCATGAAGGGGACCAACAGATCCACCCCTACCCACCATTTAGGATGTTTTTAATTGGACTTTTTCAGTCCCAGTGTAAAACAAACTTAAACATACCAGACATGTTCAGACCAGACCAGACCAGATCAAACTTTCATAGTTATAAAATACACAGAGACCAGACATTTAGCAGACCATAGCAGACCAGTTCAGACCAAACCAGACCAGATTTAAACAGACTAGAGTAGATCAGACCAACAAATTTCTATAAAAACATCGGATACTTCTTCAAACAATTCGTATGTATCTCCAAATTCCATTCTCACAATTTATCTCCCACAAATTATCTCTCAAAATGCCTCATCCCATATGAAGCTAGATAACCTCAATATGATAGCTTGATGATTAGGATCTCCTATTCACCTTCTGGACCCTTAGGCTGCCCGCAAACGGTGAAAAGCCAATTTTGATGCTTTCACTCCACATATATTAGGGGTGGGCGCGGTCCGGAACAGTCCGGTAAATTGGTAAAACCCGTAATGTATCCGTGAGATTTTTAACGGTCCGGCCCGGTCTGGTTCCAAGAATGGAATCGTTCGGTACCATGTCGTTTCAGAACGGTACAAAACGGTACGGTACAATGCCAAACACATGCTAAAAATTTGAACAAATTTTGCAATTAGTAGATATTAGGGATGGCCTCGGGCCGGTTCGGGCCCGGTTCGGGCCTCGGGTCTGTTTTGTTGGGCCCGAGCCCGAACCGGTGGCCACCGGTTCCGGGTTCGGTTCCGGGCCGGCCCGGCCCGGGCCACCCGATTAGTTTTTTTTTTTCCTTTTCTTTTCTCCCCCCCTCACCCCCCACCCCCCCAAACCCCCCAAACCGGTCCTAAACATCAAGCCCAACTCAATAAAGCTCAAAAAAATGAAAAAAAAAATAATTTTTGTCCCGGACCCGGGCCCGACCCGGCCGGGCCGGTTCGCCAAAAACTGTAACCGAGCCCGGAACCGCCCGGGCCTAGGCCCGAACCGGACCCGGAAAACCGGGCTGGGCCGGGCCCGCACAGTAGCGGGCCTGGCCGGTTCCCGGGCCGGGCGGCTTGAACCGAGGCCATCCCTAGTAGATATCATCACATCAACCAACTATTAGCAGTATTGCGAGACAAACGAAAGAGAGAAATGAAATGAAGAAGATAAACTCCATTATTATTTCAGCTAGCTTGTTACAAGAGTATTTATAAGAAGATAGAGAGAAAATATCTGCGTAACTACTCTAACCGTAGCCTAACAACTTGTTGAAGTAATAAAACTATTCTACTTGCATCCTCACATAACATGTATGAGTCCGCATGAGTTGTCATGTGTTATTACCCTCCCTCAAGCTGGATCGTATATGGAACGAAGACCATGCTTGGAGATGCATTCTTGAAAGATGGATGTATATAGAGCCTTTGTAAAAGAATCTGCCAATTGTTTGGCTGAGGGAACAAAGAATAGTTTTATTAGGCATTCATCGACTTTGATTCTTATAAAATGGCAATCAACTTCTACATGTTTCGTTCTTTCAAGAAAGGAAGGATTTTTAGCTAGCTGAATTGCTGATTGACTGTCACGGTATACACAGAATGGAAGGTTGGTTGTGATGCTAATATCTTTGAGTAAAAATTGAAGCCATTGCAGTTCACAACTCAATGAAGCCAGGGATCTATATTCTGCTTCAGAGGATGATCTGGATACAGTACTTTGTTTCTTTGATTTCCATGAAATGAGTGATGTTCCAAGGAATACACAGAAGCCAGTAATGGATTTTCTAGTAGTAGGACATGTAGCCCAGTCTGAATCAGAAAATGCCTGAATGTTAAAATTGTTTGATCATGGATAGAAAAGTCCAAGTCCAGAGGATGTTTTGAGATATTTAAGAATTCTTAATTAATGCCGCATTAAGGTGAGTATCTCTTGGATCAGAAACAAATTGGATGAGATGTTGGACTGCAAAAGATATGTCAGGCATGGTATTTGTAAGATAAATGAGCCTGCCAATGAGTTTGTAGAAGCATGTAGGATTTTGTAATGGTGTACCAGAATCTGGAGTAAGCTTTTGTGATGGGTCTATTGGTGTAGATACAGGTTTGCAACCTGTGAGCCCAAATTCATCTATAAGTTCCAAGCAATACTTTCTTTGATTGATAATCAGCCCTTCTTTGGATCTTGCAACTTCTAGGCCAAGAAAGAATTTAAGATTTCCAAGATCCTTAATGTGAAATTGATTATGTAAATAAGCCTTTACTTTTGTGATTTCAGTCAAATCATTTCCAGTAATAACTATGTCATCCACATAGATTAGTAGAAATGTGACTTGAGGTCCAGATTTCTTGCTGAAGAGAGAATAATCTGCTAAACTATGATGATAACCAATGTGAATGAGAGTTGATGTGAGCTTTTGATTCCATTGTCTGCTAGCTTGTTTAAGGGCCATAGAGTGACTTGTGTAATTTGCAGACTAGATCAGTTTTGGATGATAGAAGTCCTGGTGGAGGTTTCATGTAAACTTCTTCACATAAGTTGACATGTAGAAATGCATTGTCTATGTCGACTGTCGAGTTGTTGAATATGCCAATTGTTTATTGATGCTATGGAT